ACAGCTGAAGAACAGCTGAAGAACAGCTTAAGAACAGCTGAAGAACAGCTGAAGAACAGCTGAAGAACAGCTTAAGAACAGCTGAAGAACAGCTGAAGAACAGGTAAAGAACAGCTGAAGAACAGCTGAAGAACAGCTGAAGAACAGGTAAAGAACAGCTGAAGAACAGCTGAAGAACAGCTGAAGAACAGGTAAAGAACAGCTGAAGAACAGCTGAAGAACAGCTGAAGAACAGCTGAAGAACAGCTGAAGAACAGCAGAAGAACAGCTGTAGAACAGCTGAAGAACAGCTGTAGAACAGCTGAATAACAGGTAAAGAACAGCTGAAGAACAGCTGAAGAACAGCTGTAGAACAGCTGAAGAACAGNAAGAACAGCTGAAGAACAGGTAAAGAACAGCTGAAGAACAGGTAAAGAACAGCTGAAGAACAGGTAAAGAACAGCTGAAGAGCAGGTAAAGAACAGCTGAAGAACAGCTGAAGAACAGGTAAAGAACAGCTGAAGAACAGCTGTAGAACAGCTGAAGAACAGCTGAAGAACAGGTAAAGAACTGCTGAAGAACAGCTGTAGTACAGCTGTAGAACAGCTGTAGAACAGCTGAAGAACAGCTGAAGAACAGGTAAATAACAGCTGTAGAACAGCTGAAGAACAGCTGTAGAACAGCTGAAGAACAGCTGTAGAACAGCTGAAGAACAGCTGAAGAACAGCTGTAGAACAGCTGAAGAACAGGTAAAGAACAGCTGAAGAACAGCTGAAGAACAGGTAAAGAACAGCTGAAGAACAGCTGTAGAACAGCTGTAGAACAGCTGAAGAACAGCTGAAGAACAGCTGTAGAACAGCTGAAGAACAGGTAAAGAACAGCTGAAGAACAGCTGAAGAACAGCTCAACCTGTTGGTTCTGTGACCTTCCAGCCCTCGGATGTTTAACTGGATCAGGACTCTGCTGGTTTCGGCTGCAGGAAAGACAGAAGCTGATAATCTTGATTCTTTCTGACACACAGTTGATTCAGGCAAGAAGGTCCAGATTTAGCTCCTGTAGGTCCTCCTCATCCTCATCTTCATCCTCATCTTCATCTGATGAAGACACACAGCAGCAAACATGTCACTGATTTTATACATTCTGACTGTCAGAACCTGGACCTGGACCTGAGGACTGAAGACAGGACCTGGACCTGAGGACTGAAGACAGGATCTGGACCTGAGGACTGAAGACAGGACCTGGACCTGAGGACTGAAGACAAGACCTGGACCTGAGGACTGAAGACAAGACCTGGACCTGAGGACTGAAGACAGGACCTGGACCTGAGGACTGAAAACAGGACCTGGACCTGAGGACTGAAGACAGGACCTGGACCTGAGGACTGAAGACAGGACCTGGACCTGAGGACTGAAAACAGGACCTGGACCTGAGGACTGAAGACAGGACCTGGATCTGAGGACCGAAAACAGGACCTGGACCTGAGGACTGAAGACGGGACCTGGATCTGAGGACCGAAAACAGGACCTGGACCTGAGGACCGAAAACGGGACCTGGACCCGAGGACTGAAGACAGGACCTGGATCTGAGGACTGAAGAGATCTGGACTTGAGGAGGGTCATTGTAGAACCTGGTAGAGGATCTGGGACATTTATGAGGTGGATCTCAGGTTTTTCAGAAAACAGCAGAGTTAAGAAAAACCTGCTGGGTCTCAGGTCTTTGTCTCAGGTCTGGATCTGGATCTGGTTCTCATCCTGCTGTAGTTTTATTATAGAAACACAGAAAGCCTCTTCAGGTTCTGGTCTTTAGTTCTGGTCTTTTCAGTCCTCAGTTTTTTAC